CCCTAAAACGGTGTGTTCCCTCCTTCAGCTTGGATTCTCGTCCCTCCCTCATAGTTCTGTGCTTGTCATGGATGGGTCCCCAGGTATACAAATGATGGAGGGAGGCTTTGTCCCGGTTGGCTCCTATTATAGGGAGAAAGTGATCAAGGAGAAGGGGGATGAAGTTGATTTTTAACTGATCACATCAAAAATTAGTGCCTGGGAATGCCTTTTCACGTTCTTTGAGGTGATCATATATTGGGTGCCATTAATATAATGAACCCAATTTTGAGAATTCCTAGTGTTGAATCAACACTGTGTTTGATAAATAAGCCTTACTTGCATGAAAAAAAAAATAATAAATTAGTATCAAAGATGATGATTGGTTTTAGGCTGGTCCCTCAAATTTCAAATCCCCTTAAAAAATAAAATAAATGAAATGAAATGAAATGAAATGAAATAGATGAAACAAAATGAAATGAAATAAAATAAAATAAATGAAATAAAATAAATCAAATCAAATCAAATAATCCAGGCCGTTTAGCTAAGCAAATTTCACTCTGATGTTTCAAGTAGGTTTTAAACTTCCTTGGTGAGACTCCATTTATTCATGCAAATGGGCTTTTTTGCTCGTTCACTTTGCAAGAACTCAAATATTCTTCCTGTTGCCACATGAAAAGAAGGTAGAAGTTTTGTTTCCATCTGCCTCTTGTCCACAAATAGGGTTATCAATGTTTTATTTACTATGACTAATCAAGAGAGAAAGCCTGTGAGCTCTTCTGGTTTCCCTAGAAGAAATAACTGGAACAGCTCAAGAGAATGGAAGCAGGAAAAGGGGGAGCCATACAGACCCAAACTGGAATCCTGGCTCTCCCGCGCAAGCTCTGTAACCCCCAGGAGATTTATTTTATTTTATTTTTTTTACATTTATTTATTTTTGAGAGACAGAGAGACAAAGCACAAGTGGGGAGGGGCAGAGAGAGACGGAGACACAGAATCCGAAGCAGGCTCCAGGCTCCGAGCTGTCAGCACAGAGCCTGACGCAGGGCTCGAACTCACAAACTGTGAGATCATGACCTGAGCTGAAGTCGGACGCTCAACAAACTGAGCCACCCAGGCACCCCAACCCCCAGGAGATTTAAGTCATGTCTCAGGTTCATTCAACTGTCTTTTCTCTAAAAGTTGGAAGGGTCCACGCCTACCTCATTGGGTGATTTTAATGATTTAGTAAATGGCATATGAAGAAGCCCCTAGAGTCCTACCATCTAATAGAAATATAACACAAGCCAGCAATGTGATTTTAAATTTTCCAGTAGCCTCATTAGAAAAGTGGAAACTGTTTATTACAATAACTTATTTCATTTTCCAGTATGTTCAAAATATTATCTCAAGACCTAATCAGTGGGAAAAGCTTATGTCAAAATATTTTATTCTTTTTTTTTCTAGTAAGTCTTCAAAAGTCAATTTGTATTTTTCACTTCTGACACACTTCAATGCAGACACTGAATTCTCAGAGAAAATGCTTGATCTATATTTAAATTTCTTAAAATTTATGTTTGAAAAGTAGATTCGTATACCCACATTGCCCCAAAAATACTTAAAAGTTTTCCCAAACTGAATCAAGTATCCATCTTTTAAATTTAAAATAATTAAAATTTGGGGTGCCTCCATGGCTCAGTCCCTTAAACTCCAACTTCAGGTCAGGTTATGATTTCACAGTTCGTGGGTTCAAGCCCCACATCAGGCTCTGTGCTGACAGCTCAGAGCCCGGAGTCAGCTTCAGATTCTGTGTCTCCCTCTCTCTCTATCCCTCCCCAATCATGCTCTCTCTCTCTTAAAAATTAACAGTAAAAAAATTTGAAAAATGTAATTAAAATTAAATTAAATTAAATTACATTAAATTAAATTAAAAAGTCAATTCCTCAGTCATACTAGCCCCCTTCCAGTGCTACACATGGCCAGTAGCTACTGCCTTGGACCGAGTCTTAGAACAATGCTGGGCACGTAGTAGGTACTCACTGAATGAAATAACATTCTTCTGTCACCACTATCTTATCTGAATCTCAAAGTTGTTTTGAACACTGAAACTTTGAGAGCAGTTTAAATAACACCTACAGTATGTCTACCCTCAGTTGAGAAGCAAGGATTGAGACAGCACAGTTTCTCTGTGCTGGTACACATACTACTCAAAATTGTCTTCTGGAACGGTAGCCATCAGGCTGCTCTAGGTTTTGAGTGCCTTTCAGTTAACCTAACTGCTCACATGACACCCTCCTGGCTTCCCCTGTCTCAAGTGGTAAATAATAACACAATGTCTCCATTGGATGGAAAATACGAACTTACGAGAGAGAGACTCCACTTCCCCAGTCAAAACCCACTGCTTTGGAAATTCATGAACTCAGGATAAACAAAAATGTCCATGTGCCACTGAAATCCATAACTCATCTTTTTAAAAAATCCCATAGTTCTTTACAAAGAACTTTTGAATGCCACAGCTGCTAGTCTGAAGCTATCGATCCTGTGAATAATATGACCTACTTTTAAGAATACATGGTGCAGAGGCGCCTGGATGGCTCAGTCGATTAAGCATCAGACTCTTGATTTCAGCTCAGATCATGATCTCATGGTTCTTGAGATCAAGCCCTGCATCAGGCTCTGTGTTTACAGCATGGAGCTTGCTTGGGATTCTCTCCCTGTTCCTCTGCCCCTCCCCTGCTTGTGCGTGTGCACACACACACACATGTTCTCTCTCTCTCTCTCTTTCTCACTCTCTCTCTCAAAATAAATAAACATTAAAAAAAAAAAGAAGGCAGAGTGCTAACAGGACTTAAGTCCATCTGCTTTTTTATTCCTCAAGGATGTAGAAATATGAGAAACAGAAGAAACAGAAGATTCAACAATTTGGCCAGGTCACTGTAATCAGTTTGTGGTCTTGGCAAGGGCTTTGTTCTTCAAGCCTTGAGGACCATGGCACTTTTCCCAGATCTCATGAAGAGACACAGAACTATCAGATGTTCCCAAATGCATGGTACCATGGTTAAAATGTTCTTAGGTATTATGAATAACTATTGATGTTTGCCCAGCCTCTTTTCCCCATACCTCTGGTAACCTCCCTGACAGCCCTTTGGAAGAATGAACTTCCCATTGGATGTAGCCTTGTGGGACTCTCAAATTGTTCTGTCCTACCTGCCAACATTATATCTTTGATCCAAACTAAACCAATCAGGTTCTTTCTCCTCGAAATTTGAATCTTGAGCACAGTGTTACAAGGATTCAAAATGTCGAGAGGTCTTTCATTCCCACAACTGGACATCCTGACATTTTGAAGAGACTGTCTATGAGTTCTGCCACCAGATCCCAAGAGCGTCTCTGCTTCTCTTTTCCAAGGACTGGTCTTAGCGTAGGCCTTTTTCTTTAATCTCACAGTTCTATAGCCTTCATAAATTTCTTTCTTTTCTTTCTTTCTTTCTTTCTTTCTTTTGTTCTTTCTTTCTTTCTCTTTCTTTCTTTCTTTTGTTCTTTCTTTCTCTTTCTTTCTTTCTTTCTTTCTTTCTTTCTTTCTTTCTTCTTTCTTTCTTCTTTCTTTCTTTCTTGTGTCTCTGAAATGGCCCACAGTCTGTTGCTTGAACCCAATCATTCCTAACTGCAATAATAGGTAATGTTCTGTTATCAAATATTAAGTCTCTCAGGCCCGGGCCTGTTTGGCCAAAATGAACTTGCTGCTGTTTCTCCAATCATGCAGACAAAGATGTCCATTAATGAGCTCACGAAGTTGAGTAACAGGCTCAGACAATTGCTTTTCAGTCTCCCTAGAGCCCTAATTAGAATCCTTTATTTGTCTCCAACTCAGGCAAACTTTGCTGAGGAGGTGAGGATCCTTGAAGGACATGCAGAGAACCTTCAGATTATTTTGGTCTGAGAAAAACCCTTCAGAGCGATTCTAGCTGACAACATTGTCAAACACAGCCGTGTTGCAAACTCACGTGAAAGCAAGCTAGACCCCCAAGCAAATACATCTTCATTTTCAGGGAAGACAGTCCTTATCTGGAACTGCTCACTCAGGTTTTGCTTTTTTTTGGGGGGGGCCCGGGGGGGAATCTTCATTTTTTCACTGTCTCCAGTGGTGTGGACTCTTGGACCTTAAGGGTCCCTTTGGCAAGTTGTAGAAGGTTTGGGCTGTCTCTGGTACCAGAAACAAAGACAAATGCACAATGAAATCAAAATATTGTTGACGGGCAAAATATTGACAAGTACTGGCTCCTCCACATAGAAGTCGGTGTGACTGTTAATGATGGAAAGACATTTGTGTACTTAGAGAGATACAGGCCTAATTGTTCCGCACGGCATGAAAGATAAACTACTGCCAAAAGTCACACATGGTGCAGGGCGCAAGCTGAGTTTTTGGCAGTCCGTGTTACCAAAGATCATTTTTTAAATTAAGCCTCCTAATCCTATAGCTATCTCCTGCTTCCATTCCCATTCCTTGAGGAATGTTTTCTTTTCCTCTGCGGCATCATTACCAACTCCCGTATTTCAAGTACCTATGTTGATCTTGAGACAGAGCCACAGATCCACCTCCTTCCTCATTAGCAAAACAGTTGCTTGGGATAAACTACGTGGCGCCACATTCCCCCCGTATGTCATCTATGCCTTGATGGTAAGAAATACACACTTGCAAGTTCCATCATTTCTTTCAGGTTGTTCAAGTCCCATTTGAAATCCTCATGCAACAGTTTGCCGAGCTGCAGCCCAGGAACCTGCCAAAGTGAGTAGAGCCTTACAGAGTCTTCCCTGGGGATTAACAGCTGTACAGAGCCGGTTGAGGCAAGAAGACAATCGTGCCTGTTAGGTGTCCCATTACCTTTGTGCATTAGTCCCTTCGTGGGGATTAACGTGGAATGACATTTTTATATTGGAAAAAAAAAAAAAAAACATTGTGGAATAGTCTATCTAAAGCACTTTGTATAAAGAACACGATACTTAGGTGCTCACCTTGAGAAAAGAGGTTGCTTGATTCTTACCTGTCAAAAATGGAAGAGTCTGAGATTTTACTCTTCTTGCAAACTAACAAATCAGCCTGCCGCAGTTATGGATGCTGGCAGAAGGCACAAGACTCCTGAGTCAGAGACAAAGGGTTTTATCACGAGTAGCAGAGATCAAGAAGCAAGAATAATATATTTGCTATAGTTCTCCTTGCCTCCAAGTATCACCGAAGAGACACAGATAGGCTCAGTGGGCCGCTGTTAGAGCAGGAGGACCCTGGGCTTAGGGTAGCCACACCTTTTACAATGGGCAATAAGCCTGCCTGCCCTCCAGGGTCTGGAGGGAACACCGTCTTTATTATACCCAACTGTAAGGAAACACACCCTTCACTCAGCAGGGAGATACCCTATCTTCCAAGGCTCTTCACTATCCAACCATCTTTAAAGAGACAATTCAGAAGAAAAGCAATCAGTGCTTCTGCATGGAAGACAGGCAGAAACACCAGGTTACACAGAAGAGGACAGTCTCCTCACATCACTGACCTATGCCCAATCTCGTGTGAAACTGTACAGACTGTTTTTACATAAACTGTGACTAAAAGTAGGCAATAACTACTTAAGCTTAGTTCTTAAAGAGAGACCCATTACTTAGCCTTCCCGCTCGGACCATCACGATATGAGATGTAAGCGTCAGGATCAACCTAGGTCACAAATCTCTCTTTCAGGATAATGGCATAGACTTTGTTTGTTTTAAGTCAAGACTTAAATATATTCTTATGAATGACTGAGCCTACCCTAGGGAATGGAAAAAAATATATATATATATATACACACACGATTTACTAAAAATGTAGGTGTATTTGCCATTTATTGTGGGCATAGCATGGCATTCATTGTGATGAGTACTTTTTATACCTTATTTCATTAAATCTTCATGAAAATGTCTTAGTATAAATTATCTCCATTGTTGATATATATAAAAAAAAGGCTCAAGGAATAAATTAGCCAATATTACTAACTAGTAAAAGGCAATATTGGGATTAAACAGAGGTCTAGCCAACCCAAATTCAGGTGCTTTTCTGCTACACTGCCTCTCCAGATAGCTACTTCATGATTAAATGTATGTGGGCACATAAGAATAAGAAATCATAAAGGCATCAATACAATGACAGTCTACTATTAACTATCAACCCCATCTTTCTAAGGCACCAGTAAAACCCTTAATTGGAACCAGTCAGTGTCCTATTTTAGTTCTTCAACTCAGGGCTAAGCTTTAATTAAAGATCCTCACCTTAACCCTATTTCTATACCCTTAGGGGTGCAATGAGATAACGATTTGCCCAAACAGAAGTGCTACATCATATATTATACTCCAGAGAGTAAAAATTAGGTTCCCATGGATGTTAGCCAAAAATCAACTTACTGATTTTTCTTGGTAGTGCAGATATAATAATCCAATGGTAGAAGTAAATTACCTGGGTTCTATGTCATATGTTAATCACCTTTGACCTACAAATCTACATCCCTTTCTGACCTACACTGGCCCCTTGGAACTAACCAACCTTTGTCTAAGAGGTTATATATCCAATGCGAAAGTCAACATTGTATTGGAAATTGAGAGTGGGGTGGGATCAAACGTCACAGGACAATTTTCATCAAAAGAACTTAATAGAAACTGGGGCCATGTCTTGGTTAACAGGGAGAGTGGCCATTAAGCTATATTATTATAAAACTAGACCACTCAAGGTCAACAGGGACAAACACCCCTTCAGGCAAAAAAATATTGAGGAATGCTGTTTCAAATAGGACCCATACTTGCGTAAGATAAGAAATATTCTGGGGCTCCTGGGTGGCGCAGTCGGTTAAGCGTCCGACTTCAGCCAGGTCACGATCTCGCGGTCCGTGAGTTCGAGCCCCGCTTCAGGCTCTGGCCTGATGGCTCAGAGCCTGGAGCCTGTTTCCGATTCTGTGTCTCCCTCTCTCTCTGCCCCTCCCCCATTCATGCTCTGTCTCTCTCTGTCCCCAAAATAAATAAAAAACGTTGAAAAAAAATTAAAAAAAAAAAAGAAATATTCTTTCACCAACATGGTTCAATGGTCTTGTCTTCAAGCAAAATGTTTCATAATGTTTACCTTTGAGAAAATATCTAATATCTAACTAGTAAAGAAACTAGCACGTCACTGTTGGAAAGGTTGAAAAGAAACTTCAATTTGTATCCAGGTTTACCCTCACTCATGGGACTCTATCCTTCTTCTCTGACTTGCTCCCACCTTGGGGGCAGCAAAATGTAATGCCTTCCTGGCTAAATTTGAAGGTATTCAGAAAGGAGCAAGACTCTGGGCAGTGGAAGAGGTGGTGATATATCCTGGGAATTGTTAGAGTTGTCAGAGAGAAAGAAGGACTTGAAAAAGGAGACCCATGGGGTTTGAGTGCCTCAAGTCTGGAGGGCCTGGTTGGGAATGTAGGGGACCCTACAGAGGGTCATCTTCTTGCAAAGAGCTAAGGCAGAGGGAGTCTTTCCTTTGAGATGGAAGAGACAATGGAGTTAGCTAGAGTTATAGTCTTTGTTTCTCCTATATTAGAATACTTCTCTGAAATTATCCTATCCCTTTGGTAAATGTCTTTGCATATGCCTGTGAATTCTGACAGGTAAGATTTTTGAAGATTGAAATAACAGGGCTCTACCCCCATTTCCTCCCTGATAGAAGTAGAAAGAGATTGTACCCCTCAGATGGTTCAGAGTGCCAGTCATCAGTGATAACCCTGACTCCTACAGTTGTATACTGCAGGGAACATGCTGGGACCCTTCCCAAGCCTGGCAAAGGCAGCTTTTGCTGCCTGACCTCTAGATTGCATTTCCAAACACCCCAAATCCAACTTTGAAACTACACAGTGTATTCTTCTTGCTGTAAATCTCTCTGTTTGCCATTGCGTTCATTTGTGCCAATGATGGACCTTCAAAGTGGAGAAAACCAGAAATGATGGGGAAAGAATGCCCCTTTTTCCAATAGAAGATATTCTATAGACCCAGTTGCCCTTTGCCAGGAAGAAAACGGCTTCCCAAAAGAGGTCTTGGTTCCCTGAAGTATTTTATTTAATTGCCTCGTGTTAACTTGTGTGTGTATGCGTGTGTGTGTGTGTGTGTGTGCATGAATGCACATTTTCCAAAACTAGTATGAATGGAGGAAGAAAGGAAATCACTAGGGAAAAGATGACAAGGAGCTAATATTTAATATTTCTTGTTGGATGCCTTCTTTATATTAAATAATTTAATAGTTCAACCACACATTAGCACATCAGTTGGAAACAAGACAACTGAGGCTCAGAAATATTTGATAATGTACTCAAGTTCATATAACTACTTAGGGCAGACCTAGGATTTAAACTGAGGCCTGAATCCAAAGCCCCATGGTATTTCCACAACTGCATAAGTGCATTTTGTAGACCATAGACATAAAATGTCCCATGAAGGTGGGGTCTCATGAGTATGTCTCTGGAGAGTTTTCCAGGAAACAGAGAAGAGAGATTTGGAACTGGCTGGGGGAATAAAATGATTTCTGGCAGATAAATAGCTATCCCAGCCTTCCCACAGATGAGGGTATTCACTACAGAGTTCAAGTATGCCCTTAACAAAAACATTCCACACGATGGCCAGCTTTTCCCTCAAGCAAACGACCCCTAACTGAAAGAACTGAAAGAAATGTCCAATGACCTGACATTTCTAACGCAGGATGGTATAAAGTCAGCAAAATCTAGGGCCAGAGACAGGTGCGAGTGTCTGGAACAGTGCTGTTTCCAGAAATCTCCATCAGACACCTAAGGTGTTGCAGAGCCCTACAGTTAACAGTATTTAATTACTATCTACCAGAATTCTGGGGATCATTAACATATGAATAATTGTTCAGATTCTGGAGTCCAGACCAAAGTGGTGAAAACCAGAAATGATGGGAAACAAGAAAACAATGAAGGAGGTTTCTAAATAAAAGCATTGCAGGGAGAGTGGGATGGAGTGGGCGGCCGGCAGTTGAAGGGAGAAGATGCACCACTATTTTCTCTTTTTCCCAGTGTGCAACTTAAGATGTCAGTGGAACACCACCCATTATCCCCAGGACCTCTGCTCTATTCACTGCGGACTTGCCACAGGCTAAGCCTGAGATCGAGGAGGTTAATTAAGGAAAGCAATGGTTATGAGCCATGGCTCCATGCCAATCTGGAAAACAATTCAGGAGATTTTGTTTATTGTCTCCAATGGTTCCACCAAAAATCTTAACTTTCTCAAAAAAAAAAAAAAATGGTGAGGGGATCATGAAATGATTCACCTGATCTCAAGGCTCTAATTAATTATGCTATTTATTGATCACTTACCACATGTCAGGCATTCTGCTGGGTGATCCTTGTGCTGCATAAAACTAGCTTCTCCTCGCCAAAAACGAGCAAGCAAAAAACTCAAGAAGGTATGACTATTGTTATTTTCTACATAAGGAAACGGAGTCCGCGAGAGATTAAACGAGAAAAAGAACCAGTCAGTAGCGTGACTACGTTTCAAATCCAAGTTCGTTTCGTCCCAAAGCCAGTACACTTCCCATTAAACCAACCATTTCTTGCTAGTTGAGGGTGGGGTGTGGGGTGCAAGGTGTTGGGATTATCTTTAATTTTAGTTTTAAAACTCTTTAAACCAAAGAGATTAATAACTGCATCTGTACTTACGCAATTTCAAGCATCAGTGGGCAGATCAGAAAGTATTTTCTAAGAACAGCAAGCAATCTTCTTAATAACTCTGGGTGCGAAGCCAGCCAGGTCTGAGGGCTGAATCTCTGGTATGTATCTGCCGCACCCAAAAGGCAAAGCGCTATGGGCCAAGCATTTGCACACAGAGCGAGGTATAGCTTTTCCTTTAAAAGTCTCTGTCCAGACACCAATCAGGAAATGGACACCAGCCCTCTCCTCGAGGAGGGCAGCAAGGACTCACTCCAAGGATCTTTAAGCCTCCTCAACCCAGCTGCTTGGAGCCTCCCTTGTTGGGGCAGTCCTCCTGCCCAACCTGTTTCCTCTCAAGAGCCAGTGGAGTTCATGGTCATGGTTGGGCTCAGGGGATCCAGCCACTGGGCTTCTTATTCTGAATGTAACTGCATTCCAAGCACATCCCAGAAGAAGTGCCCTGAGGAGCGTTCGTTTTTGTCTCCTTTGTGTTGCCAATGTCACAAGTTGTCAGAAGTCCCTTCAGAAGTGACCTTGGCCTTATCGTCCATTTGTTCCAGTCACACCAGACTTATTTCCCAGTCCCAAAGGTACCTTAGTTTTAAAATTCCTCAGCCTTTGTACACTGTTTCTTTCCACCCAGTGCCCAGAGTCTCTGTCTCTACTGAATGAAAGGCAAACACGCACTTTTTCTTTTCTTTTTCTTTTAAAGTTTATTTATTTTGATAAAGAGTGAGCAAGATTGGGGGAAGGGAAGAGAGAGAGAGAGAGAGAGAGAGAGAGAGAGAGAGAGAATCTCAAGTAGGCCCTGTGCTGTCAGTGCAGAATCCTGTGTGGGACTCAAACTCACAAAGCTGTGAGGTCATGACCTGAATTGAAATCGAGAGTCAGACACTTAACTGACTGAGCTACCCAGGCGCCCTAACACATGCATTTTCCTTTTAAGCATCAAGCCATCAGTCTTATTACTGCAAACACGCTCGATTGGAAAACTTGGTCTGGAAACCGTGATTCAAGCCTATCCCTTGGGATCCACCCAAGGGGAGAGTCAGATAAGACTGCCATCAAACTGGATGAAAAATG